GATTATCTCAATTCTTCCGCGACTTATGTCACCATGAGTATGTAATTCTCAGTTTACCCCTCCTGGTCGGTCTTCAGACTGCTTTCACACCAATAATTTATAGCTAAGTCATTCTAGAAGAAGGATTGTACTGGTACTTACAGCCGTATTTAGTTATCCTACAGCTGAAATGGGCGAAATATGGATTAACGGAGAGATACGACAAGATCCTCTTCGGGTGGTATCTGCTTCAATCTTTCTCTTTTGGCTTGGCGTTTCTGAGGAGAGGCTTCTATACACCCTTAATAGCTTGGTGGGGAATTCCTACTGTGATGGGATCGAGCCAAGTATGAGTGTTGAATCTTGGCAAAGGCAGTGAGTGACATTTGCGAATTGCATGTCTGAGGAGGACCCTATGTCATTGTAGACTAACCTGGCCGCGATAATGGAGGATCCGATTTACTCACTCTGTATCTTTCAACTCACCAATATATTGCAGTAGTGCAGCACAGCAAATCAAGACGTCGGTTGTACTGCAGCCAGTACTGGGCAAGAGTTTGCTCGTCGCGGGCCAGTAGTGTCAACTCCTCCTACCCAACCCCACATCCGGAAAGTATGCCGGAAAAGTCTCCATGCTTGAGTCGTTCCACAACGGAATGCCTATTCCATCGTGCCGTCTCCCCTTGCCGTCTTTATTCTTTCGATTCATGCTCGTACTACCCCGCGTTAGTGTAACCCATGATTGGTTCTCGGTTATCGCTGTACCGAGTCTAAGCTTCTAGGGCCAACTTTCAATAGCCGTAGGCAATCGTTGCTGACCTTTCTGTTCAATATTATTTGCTTCAAGGCAATACATTTAAAAGCTTCATTTCAAACTGTTACAGAGGACTGATGAGTCTAATTTTTTTCAATTCAAGAAAGCACCTGTAGATCTAGTATGGACAGCACTACCAATGGCCATTCGACCTCTCACCAGATAGGATACGCAGAATTCCCGCATCTAGCTCAAGATGCTATCCACGATGGTAAACCTGCCTTAAATCGGTATTCGACATTTATTACGCGAGAGCATGATTTCCCAGCTGCCAAGGTAATTACTTAAATCCTCTGATTTGGCTTAGGAAATAATGATACTGACTTGAAGATCTAGGCGATGTTGTACGCAGCAGGGGTACCTGACGAAGAGACGATGAAGCACAGTCCTCATGTTGGAGTTGCTTCGGTCTGGTGGGAAGGGAATCCGTGCAAGTAAGACCATCTTTCTACTCTCTCACTTTGTATTCAAGCAAGTATTAACAAACTCTAGTATGCATCGTAAATAAATAATTCGATTGCATGTCACCCCCACTTTCACTGACAGGCACTTAGTACTCGACCTGGGGAAAGCCATCAAAGAATCCGTACAGAAAGAAGGCTTTCTAAGCTGGCAATACAACACCGTTGGAGTCTCTGACGCAATCACGATGGGGAATGAGGGTATAGTTCCAGCTCCTCGTAATACAAATAATCTAACTCGTGTGTAAGGAATGCGATTCTCGCTTCAGTCCCGCGAGATCATAGCTGACAGCATCGAGACCGTGACTTGCGCTCAGCACCACGACGCATGCATCGCCATTCCCGGCTGCGACAAAAACATGCCAGGATGTGTGATGGGTATTGCACGGCATAACCGTCCTTCAATTGTCGTCTACGGGGGCACCCTGAGAAGCGGATTCAGCAAAACTCTCGGCCGAGCAGTTGATATCAACACGTGCCAAGAAGTCCACGGCGCCTACCTTTTTGACACTCTAAAATACTGGAGCAAAGAAGATAAATCTGCAACGCCAGAACAGATCATGTCAGACGTGGAAAGAAACTCGGTTGTAGCACCAGGTGCTTGTGGTGGGATGTACACAGCCAACACGCTCGCCACCGTGATCGAAACCCTAGGTCTCTCCCTCCCCGGTTCATCAAGCACACCTGCTTCCTCACCCTCCAAAATGCGAGAATGTGCTCGTGTAGGTGCAGCCATGCGAGTCTGTCTCGAGAAAGATATCAAGCCGCGAGATATCCTCACAAAGAAAGCATTCGAGAATGCACTGGTAATGATTATGGCTATCGGAGGCTCGACAAACAGCGTTCTACACAGTCTCGCTATGGCAAGAAGTGCAGATGTTGATTTGACACTTGATGATTTCCAGCGTGTGTCGAATAAGATCCCATTCATTGCTAATCTTGCTCCGAGCGGGAAGTACAGTATGGCGGATCTTTACGAAATCGGCGGTATTCCTTCAGTTATGAAGATTCTGATTGCGGGAGGCCTGATGGATGGAAGTGCTCTAACTGTGACGGGCAAAACTCTCGGTGAGAATGTAGAGTCTTGGCCCTCTCTACCTCAAGGTCAAGAGATCATTCGATCGCTTGACAATCCGATCAAGAGTAGTGGACATCTTGAAATTCTGAGAGGGAATATTGCTCCTGGTGGAGCGGTGGCGAAGATCACTGGGAAGGAGGGAATGAGATTCACGGGGAAGGCGAGGGTGTTCAATAAGGAGCATGAATTGACGAGAGCGCTGAATCAGGGGAAGCTATCGAATAGTGAGAATCTTGTTCTTGTCGTAAGGTATGAGGGACCGAAGGGTGGACCTGGAATGCCGGAACAGCTTCGTGCATCTGCGGCTCTGATCGGGGCCGGCTTTAAGAACGTGGCTTTGATCACAGATGGACGGTATTCTGGCGCTTCGCATGGCTTTATTGTAAGTTATTTTTGGTCCCTCGGCTAGTGGCCAAGGTTACTTCACCGACCCTGCTTCTTTGTTTTGGCACAATTGTTGACCTTCTCGTTCATCACAGGTCGGTCATATTGTACCCGAAGCCGCAGTAGGAGGACCAATCGCGGTTATTCAAGACGACGATATCATCGATATCGATGCAACGACGAATGAATTGAAGATGCCATTCGTTAGTGACGAGGAAATCCAAAGGAGATTGAAGGAGTGGAAGCCACCTGTGCAGAGTATTACGCGGGGTGTGTTGGGGAAGTACGCGAGGTTGGTCGGAAATGCTTCAGAGGGTGCGGTGACGGACATTTACTGACGATGTTGTGACGAATATGGGAACGAGGCATTGTTTAGAATTGAAAGGGTCATAGATGGATATATTGTGTATCATGATCTAGAAATATCACTCATTGTTTTGAGCATCCATAGCGAGACATGCATAACTTCCCCATTTCGGGTCACAGCAAGTCGTGCAACCCCGGCCACTCTCTTAACAATACTTCTTCCAGTGATGCTGCTCCTCAAATCCTAGCATCTCCTTCATCTTCCTATTCGACATCGGTGCCTCCCTGCTCCCCATCCTCCTGGTAAATGGCGTCTCTGGACACACCCTTTTCAAAAACGCCTCCGTGTTTCCATCTTCCGAGAGAGAATTCGTAATCTCATCATTCGTCGCATTGAAAGCCTGCCATCCCAATCCATCGACTCTCACGCACCTCTCACACATCTCCCCCAAATCCCTCGCATCCGTATACGACCACCCATGAACCTTCCACTCCTCCGGCCTCTCCACATACGTTTTGAAAACATCCGTCTGATACTCCCCAGGCGCAATGAGTGCCCCAATTCGAAGAGCATAGACATCGATACCAAATCGACGAGCAAAGCCTCGAGCCACTCTTTCGCCGCATAGTTTGGAGATAGAATACGTATCTGTAGGATTACAATCTATGTCTTCATCGATAGGGAAAGACGGGAAATCAACATCTCCTTCAGCGAATGTGGCGCCGTAGACGCAGACTGAGCTTGCAATGATGACTTTCCGGATACCAAGTTTACAGGCTGCTTCGATGATGTTGTATGTTCCCAGGGTGTTGACTCGAAAGGTCTCGTTATCTGGGACGAGCATGTTGCGAGCGAGACCTGCTAGGTGAATTACTGCATCTGGAGGCTGAAGGGGGCGTGAGTGTATGGGGAATGGCTGTGTGAGCTTGAATGGTGAGGAAAGGGCGTTGAAGACTTGACCGCTTGATGTCAGGTCTGTTCTGAGAGTATGGACGTTAGGTATTGGTTGAGATGGTGGAGTGAGATCCAAGTTGAGGATCTGGTGGTCGCGAGACAAGAGGTGAGGAATAATGTATTGGCCAGCTTTTCCGGAGCCACCCGTCACGATGATTCGTTTTCCTAGAGAAGTAGAACATGTGCTAGAGTAGAAGCGCGACGAGAAAACATGTTTCTGACGAAGAGCTTGTCGTAGCATGACGAATGAACGAGGAGTACTGAAACAGGGCCCTTGAGCCGACATAGATCGTTCGAGAACGAATTTTCACAAGTGACATGAAAATGGCTTTTGCGAAGCTTCACTCCGTTTTTGCGCGTATCAAATTCGACTTTGGTGCTGTGAGTAATAGAATTAGATATGCCAGAGCAACTGAGCTAGTGCGGGGAAGTGCGGGGGCGGGGTCAGCGCTCCAGCAAGTAGAGTACATCAAATTCCATTTTCCAGCGTACATCATTATACCACAATAGAAATTCAATATGGGTATATTTGTTGCCAAAACAGAGGACAAGAAGAACAGAAACGAGAGACAAGGTATCAGTGGCTACATAGTGCCATAGCCCCCTCCATCCAATTGAGCACTGTCACACGTGGGTCGAAGCTCGATACAAAAACCCTAATGATTTTCTGTTACGAGAGCTTCGGTAGGTTCCTTGCATCGGCACCTTACGGCCATCACCTCATTTGCTTACTCATATATAAAAGGAAGTTGTTAATACACGGACGCATGGCGTACTATGCTAAAGCGAGGTGAGAATAACAAGCAGAGAGAACTTTGATCATGCAGCAATTTAACGAAGAGCATAATATTCCACAAGAGATGAACAGAGAATCATCGTGTGCGAAAGAAGCTGAAGGTCTCAATCATTCCAGGAGCATCATTTCCTGTGCGCCTTTCGAATATGACCTGAAGTAAACAAAAACCAAAAACCAAAAAACCACAGCAAGAAAACTTCGGCTTCGAGACAAAAACAAAAAAATATTGCCCAGACTGAGACTTGAACTCAGATCACACATATCCAATTGCCTCTCCTGCCGCCTATCCAAAGTGCCCCAAATGGCGCAGGATGATAGTACAGTAGTCCAAACGAGGCTCAAGTTGTGTGCATGTTACCGTTTACACCACCTAGGCTTTCTCGAATTATGTACTGGATGTGCTTATCTTGTTAGTTGATCTCGAGTTCAATCTGGGGATTTCTGTTCGGCTGGGATTGAGCGGATGTCGGGGAGATGTGGGGCGGCGTGGTGAAGGATCGTGAATGGGAGAGGAAGGGTGAGGAGATGAATGATTTTCTAGATTGTTGAGGTTAAAGTCCTGAGACTGGAATGAGACATCACTATGCATCAACAGAGTAACAGCAGAACACGATTCTTATCCAACAAAGTATCCTCATACGCTGTTCTACGCAGGACGGACGACTAATTTTGCGCGGTACGGTGCGCTGCATCTCCATGAAGACCTTAAAGGTCAATACAGACATCAATCTCTCAGCGTCAGAGGCTGACTTTTTGGTTAGACTTGGAAAGTCTGGAATTAACATAATCACTTGGCCCTTTGTCTTGAGCAGTGAACTTCCAAGATACCTCAAGCGCTGCGAAAGCCTACATTGGCAGTCTAGGCGCCGTAGCACAGATTTCTGCTTGCAGGAAAAGAAATATTAGCTTGGGTAACACAAGAGAACAGACGAGAATATTTCCCAACAAGATTCCATGGTTACGAGAACAGATAGCAGAAATGAAGTCCAATAAACAAATGCGCCTTCTGCTTTGGTATCTGTTCCCAAGTTCAAGATTGTTTTTACTCTCTCGCTTATCCAAACAAACACCCCCACCACCCCCACCAC